TTCTTTCCAGCCTTTTATGCCGCATTTAAAGCCACTTTTACAGAAAGCAATATCCGGGGGGGCTTTAGAGGGGCTGGACTTGCTCCCCTTGACCCAGAAATGGTGATCTCAAAGCTTGATGTGCAGCTACGGACTCCAACGCCTCCCAAGGAGGTCAGCCAACCAACAACCCCATGGGTTTCAAAGACCCCAAAGACAGCAATTGAGGCTCAATCTCAATCTAAATACCTTGAAAAACGAATCAGAAGGCATAAAAGTAGCTCTCCAGAGTCAATCATTGAGGCTCTGCAGTCTCTTACTAAGGCAGTCAAGGAAAATATATATAAGACTACCTTATTAACGAGTGAGGTCCGAAATCTTCGAGATGCAAATGAGATACTAAGCCGGCGCCGGAGGGCAAAAAGGACTAGACTACAGAAAGGAGGCACTATAACTGTACAGGAAGCATTGCAAGTAATTGATCAGATGGATATTGATGCGCAGGTGGTGGCCGAATCATCGAGAAGTAGTGGCCGAGGAAGGTCGGAGCGACCGGGCGGTCGGCGTTGTGGTGTATGCGGCAATGCCGGTCATAATGCAAGGACCTGTCAGGTAGTGATTGAGACCTTTGAAGAAGAGTATAGCAAGTAGTTTCAATTGATTGGATAGTTTGTGGTGTTTTTAAATGGATTGAAATATTTAAGGCTAGGATCTTTTGTAACACATACTTATCTGTAACGCATGCTTATCAACCACGTTATATATTATTTAATATATACATACTGGCTTAATTGTGTTAGTATTGCCCTTGGTTTTGAAGACCCTCTAACCTCTTACTGCTTCTAATAAGGGCTAGTAGATGCCCTTATCCTAGTAGCCCCTAATGCTATTATAAACCAGGTTATAAGGCATAATCCTAAGACTAGATGCCTCTAGAATATATATTTAAATTTATAAGTAGGTTAAAATACCTAAATAGCTTACCTAGAAGAAGAGCTATTAGATATTAGGCTAATAAAATTATTTATATATACAAGTATTAAAAGTAATTTAAGAATTTTAAAGGAGATATTATAAGAAGAGCTTAAAAAGCTAAACCTTAGTTTAAAGATCCTTAGCTTAAAGTAATTAGTTAATATAAAATATTAAGATATTAAGTATAGATATTAGTATATTAACTGCACCCTAGTGCCGGAGTAAATAGAACTTAAAAAGTTATAGTAATAGCTTAAGAGCGCTAAGAAGCAATTTAGAGATAAGATATTAAAGATATACTAAGAGGCATACTACTAGAGGCTTTATAATAGAGAATTAAAGAGGTAATTATATAAAACTAGTATTAATATTAATAAAATTACTAGGCCTATAACTTAATACTAATTAGAGGAGCGAAATTAGTTATAAGAGATCTTCTTTATTAATAGGTAGCTAATAGCAGAGGATTTTATAGCCTAGAAAATTACTATAATTAACCTTATAGCCGCTCTAGCCTGTTGCCAGGAGATAGCTTGTCTTATATAATCCTTAGGAGTGACTATATAGGCTAATATTAATCCTTAAGAGGTTAAGGATGTTTTTCTGCTAATAGAGGAAAATAAAGCAATTCCCTAAGTATTAGAGAGAAACTAATACCTAATTTATATTAGGGATAAGGCTCTTTCCTATAAGGCTTAAACCTATAAGTTTATAAAAGTTACTTATATAATAGATTATATTAAAAGAGTCTATTTATAGTATAATCCTTATTATTTTATATAGATTTATTACTATTTTACTTATAAACCTAAAGGTAACTTTTTAAAAAGCCTTAATTATTTTAAAAATTATATATTAATAAAATATAATATAAAGCTTTATAAGTAATATAAATTAAATTAGTTAGTAAATTATTATACTATATAGTATAGTTAAAGTATTTTATATTATATAACTAGGGATAAGGGTAGTTTAGGTACTATTTAAGGTATTAGTAAGTTAAGAGCTTTTTCTAGCTATTATATATTATATATAAGATAATAGCTTATTTACCTTAAACTTGTCTATTAAAAGTTATATTTAGCTACTAAGGGATATAAGTATAAATAATTTTAAAACCCTGACTGCTCTTTAAATAGGTATATATATATTATACTATATAATATAAAACCCTTTCTGGCATTAAGGTGCTCTTAACTAATGGCTAACCCGGTAATTAATAAGGGATATATATTTGCCTTATTAATAATGTAATTAGCTATATAGCAAACGCCTTACTATATACTATATAGTAATTAAACCTGGAAGACACTGTAAGAGGAAGGTATATATATATAATACTATACTATAAGGTATAGAGACTCTGCATTATAAATTATTCTATATTTTAATAAAAACTTTTAAAATTAAACTTAGCTTTATATATATAGAGTTTACTGCTAGTACTAGTCTAAGAAAATATAAGCTACCTAAAGTTAGTAAGGGCTAGTATATTATATATTAGCTATAGTATTATATTATACTAATACTATATTATAAAGCTTTTTAAAATACTAAAGAATCTTTCTTTACTAACTGGTTAAGGTTAAGAGAGTTAATAAGAACCTATAAGTTATAAAGCCTTTTACTATATAATAAGAAGTTTAGCAGCTATTAATACAGTATAGTATAATATAGGTAGGGAGGTTATATTAGCCTTTTTAATTACCAAGTTAGCTATAAGCAGAAGATATACTAATGCTAGAAAAGCTTATTATATAATATATATATAAGGAAAGGGATACTATACTATATAGAATTAGTTATAATTATTTATATATATTTACTTAGTAACTAATTGTTATTCTTAGCAGATAGGGTTAGGGTAATTAAGCTATTATTAATCTCCTAATATATATAAGTATAATATAAAAATAATTATTACTAATAGCTTGCCTTTATATTTAAAAGGTATTATACTACTTTATAGTAAAAAACTATCCTATCCTTTATATTAAATAATTATTATTACCTATAATATATATATAGACTTATTTATCTTAAGAACTATATAATATAGTATATATATAATATATTATATTATATATAATTAATATACCCCTAGCTAGATGCCTCTTCTATAAAAATAAGTATAGGTATTATAAAGAAATAATATAATATATATAAGCATTTACCTTATAATACTAATACCCCGGTTTTACTATATACCTCCTAATTACTAGAATCTAGGTATAGTATATTATAAATATTCTTAAGAGCTATTAATTATTTTAACTATTTAAAGAGGTCTGTAAATCTGCTTATTTCTTTAGCATTCTATTAACCTAAGGGTATAGCTATGCGTTTTATTTATATCCTAGCTTTTTATTAGCATATATTAATATAATAAGTAATAGTAAAGTAGAATGTTTTCTATCTAGGACCTTATACCTTATAGCATATATTTTATCTTTATATATTTGTTCTAACTTAGGCAGTTACTTGGCGCTTATCTGCTTATAGCAATACCTTAAGTTTTAGCAGTAAATATAATTAGAAACTAAGAGTTATAAATTATCTATTAATGCGAGTTTAGCTTGTTTATAGAACTTCTTAATCTTAACTTATACCTTAGTAGCAGTAATATTGGAGACTGAAAGCTATAGACTGTAGTTATAGTTTACTTCGCTTTCTCTTTAAATCCCTATTCTAATATTATAAAAAGGAACCCGAGATGGCTCAATTAGCAAACAGAAGTCAAGGTTGCTGTTATTAATAGTATCCTCGAAGTTCTTATAGCACCTATATCTAATATAATTATTAAAATAATTATTTATAACTCTATTTAATTTATAATTATATATCAATATAAATATAGTAATCTCTTATATTTATTCTTTTTTCTTCTCTTTTTTATAAAAAGATATAATTAAATTACTTAATAATTAAAAAAGGTAAAGATTTTCGCTAGTAAGATAAGTAAATATAATATAAATTACTATGCCTAGCTGCTTATTTTAGCTAACAAGGCGCCTATTAGTAATGCTTTATATACTATATATTGTTTTAAACTAGCAAATAACTTAGTTAGATATATATATATAGTTAATTTTTAGCACATAGATTACTGCAGGGGATATATCTAGTAGCTAATAGTGGATCTTCTATAAGCTAGCTGCAACCTGCCTCGCGCCACTAAAGATCTATACCAGGTAACCTCAGGTAATAATAATTATATAATACTTATAACCTTCTAAGATTAAAACTGCATTTTATTACTAAAATAAATAAGTAGCCTTATAATACTCCCTTTATATACTACCTGATTTATAGGCTATATTTATAAAACTAATTATATCTGAAATCTTATAACTTATAGCTGCGATAAAATTTATTTATAATTATCAGGAAAATCACCATGTAGATATTATTTATTAATACTATAAGACTTGGGGCATAATAGGAGACCTATTTTTACTGCATTAAAGAGGAGAGATAAGCTAATTTAGATAAGACTTAGCCATATCTGCCATATCAGCATTACTGGCTCACACTCTCTGATCCTTATATAAATACCTCAGGCACTACACCTAGCGGTGAGGTTCTGGAAAGTAACCTAAGCTAGTGCTCCTATATACTATACTGCCTACTATACTAGCTTAAATCTGTCTTAGTAAGGTATAGTACTATATATAGTAACTAAACCTAAAAACTAGCAGAGTAGGATTAATAAATATCTATATATTTCTATTTAGTAATGCCTTGACCTCTAAATGCTAACCTTACTTTACAGTGCCTTAAAGTGGGCATTACTTAAAGACTTTAAAAGAGAGACTACTAGTTACAGTATAGTAATTTTCAAGTTCAGTTACCATACCTAACTAACACAAATTTAAGCTAGTGGGGTTATTGTGGGGTAGTACAGTATGCGAGAGTACTGGCCAAGGTCACTTTCCAGAGCCTCACAATAAGGTATGGTGTCTGAGGCATTCATGTAACTATCAGAGAGGGTAAGCCAGTAATGCTGACGTGACAGATATAGATAAGCCCTATTCAAATCGGCTCTTCTCTCGTCTTCTCCCGTGGTTAACGCCCCGCGTCTCACCGATGGAAGACGTGATCAAATTCGGGTCATGCCAGAAAATGGAGAATTCGGCCTGTCTCATTTTTACACATATAATCTCGGGCCCTCCCTAGCCTGCTCGTAATATTCTGAGTAACTACAGATATAGTGGTGATTGTGAAGCCACTGAGAAAACAAATTAATACATTGTGGATGCTACGCTGGGTTGACGACGTATAGTTTGAAAAGGATAATTCCGTTTTCGCCTTTGAAGCCGATACCTCAGACATTATTGTTATTATAAGCCACTTCCAACCTTTTGAAGCAATCCTGCAGTAGGTTTACTGACAGCTGTCGACTGGGGTTATTTTCTGCTAGCATCTCTGCTTTAATCGCAACTACGTGCTCGAGTATCTTAATCGCCTCCTTGATTCGTTGGTTACCGAGGTATGCAGTTGCAAGTATATGCTCTGATGCTAGTCGAAGATAGTCCTTCTCATCTAGTGTCTCCTTCTGGACTGCCACCACATGCTCAAGCATCTCAATCGCCTCCTTGATTCATCGGATACCGAGGTATGCTCTTGCAAGTTCATGTTCTGATGCTAGTCGAAGATGGTCCTTCTCGTCTAGTGTCTCCTTCTGGACTGCCACCACATGCTCGAGCATCTTAATCGCCTCCTTGATTCGTCGGTCTTCGAGGTATGCGGTTGCAAGTATATGCTCTGATACTAGTCGAAGATAGTCCTTCTCATCTAGTGTCTCCTTCTGGACTGCCACCACATGCTCAAGCATCTCAATCGCCTCCTTGATTCGTCGGATACCGAGGTATGCTCTTGCAAGTTCATGTTCTGATGCTAGTCGAAGATGGTCCTTCTCATCTAGTGTCTCCTTCCTAACTGCCACCACATGCTCGAGCATCTTAATCGCCTCCTTAATTCGTTGGTCTTCGAGGTATGCGGTTGCAAGTACTTGCTCTGAGTTTAGTCGAAGATGGTCCTTCTCGTCTAGTGTCTCCTTCTGGACTGCCACCACATGCTTAAGTATCTTAATCGCCTCCTTGATTCGTTGGTCTTCGAGGTATGCGGTTGCAAGTTGGTGTTCTGATGCTAGTCGAAAATAATCCTTCTCATCTAGTGTCTTCTTCTGGACTGCCACCACATGCTCAAGCATCTTAATCGCCTCCTTGATTCGTCGGTCTTCGAGGTATGCGGTTGCAAGTTTGTGTTCTAATGCTAGTCGATCATGATCTGTTTCAAGATCGAGGTCCTTCCTCCACCAGTACAGCTCCTCAAAATACTTAATCGCTTCTTTGAACCGTCTATCTGTGTTAAAGGAGTCTCCAGCTTTTTTGAAAAGCTGGTAGGTTTCCACCGTCTTGTCCTCATGATTTCGGCTTAGTAGCCGCATCGCATGTGGCAGATATTCCCTTCTTAAGTTGTAGTGAGCATCGCCTTTTGTGGGAAACCTTGCTGCAAGGTGGCATATTGCATCATTCCATACCTGCCTCTCCCGTTCCTGCTGCTTAAGCCAGCCTCGTGTTGCCGTGTATACAAGGCTGTGCATGTCAAACACATTACTCTCTTCCCTACGAACCAGAAACGAGTAACTGCAAAGTGTACCGATGGCCCATTCCAGCTCATCAGCCTCTGCATAGGGCAATATCGATTGGGGAATCGCCTTTGGCTCTATACATGACATGAATGACAACACGTCAACGGCAAGCTTGTTTGACTTTTGGATCTGGTGGAAAGATACAATCCATGTTGTTCCTATAGCGTTTTGAGAATCTGTATATCGGGTCCTGTCTTTGAACTCTCTCTCAAGAACTCCCGTGCCATGGTCCTCAGCGTTTTTCAAGAGGCTCAAATATGTCCGTATGGGCGCCCTGGTCTGATTGAGGTATGCGGCAGCCTGCGTGATTGCCAACGGGAGAAAGGTCAAATATGCGAGTAGCTCACCGATCGCTACTTTGTCCCGAAGCATCTGTCTTTGGACCAGAGACTTCTCTAAAAGGGTCTTCGCTTCTCTTTGATCCATTTGCTCAATATAGATCACATCGGCTTGCGCGAACTCCTCGGCGACTTGCCCAGACCGCGTCGTCAACAAGATGATACCGTCTTCACTTTGGGGTAAATACCCTTCCAACCCTGGCTTTTCGGCAGATCCAAGGATGAGCTCCTTATCATCGGCATTGTCCACAATAAGGAGCCACTTGCCAGCTTTGTCCGAGCTGAGGTGTTGGTAGACTAGATCCTTCACATTGTCGTCTTCACTACTCTTCTGCAACCCAAGCTTCTTTGCAATGTCCATATAAGCACCTTCTGCAGTTTCATCACTCAGAACTGGCACCCAGAAGATCGAATAGTCTGGTCTTTCCTCCTTGATCTGATATGCAAAACGCAGGGCAATTTGAGTCTTGCCGACCCCACCAAGTCCGACTAGCGCCATCCTCTGGCTCGAGTTCTCGCCCAAGAACTTGTCTTCTATTGCATTCAAGATCGTTGTGCGACCAGTGAAACGTACGTTTCTGGCGAACGGGATACAATAACATGGTTCATAAACCTGACCTAGCGTATCGTTAGCAATCATTCTTATCCATATAACCTAGATTTCTTTTTGATGCTTACTCACTACTTGAGTTTACAGTCCTGTCACTTGAGCGAATCTCATCCAGCAATGCTCTTGCATACGAAGCCGCCATTGCTGCCGCATATGGCTGCCAGTTTTTGTTCTTATGTCGATCGCCGTAGTCGCATACCCCTCGGATGACGCCAACTGGTATTCGATTCGTGATTCCCGCCGCTTCCATCTCCAGGCCGATAATATCATATCTGTCCCTCAGTTCATTTCGTTTTTGTGCGTTCTTCAGCAGCTTATCTCCTGACCCAATTGGGCCATACCACACTCGAGTGCGTCGAACTGGTGATCGTCGAGGACGTTCAGCGACTTCCTCTTGTTCATCATTGCAAACTAGAAACAATATGTCGCCGTCTTGCCCAGGGTCAGCGAATGTACCAGTTGCATGTTCGCAATCGCGTATCTTCTCGTAATATGGCAAAAAGATTTCGGTGTCGTTCGGTGCCTCGAGCTTGATGCTACCTATAGCCGATCGTACAATTGGTTCAGTCATGGCGAGGCTGTGGCCAAGTCGGAGCGGTTGAAAGCCGTCTTCCGTTTCTTTGCCAAGGTCATATGGGATGAGCCCGGCGCTCTCGCCAACGGGGAGACCGACAAGCACATCACCCAGCCGAATATCGCGCGCTGGGTTACGAGAAAGGTCAGGAAGCCCCGCTGCCACGCCGACGAGCAGGCCAAACCAGAGGTTGGGGAAAAACTTCTTCACCTGGCCTGCAAGTGCAGCCGCAGAACCCGTGCCATATTCTTGGCCTGCCGGCAGTGTTGCGATGATGACATTATGACCGCCCATGACACCTGCTTGAAACACGTAGTCATCGCCACGGTCGACGGGAAACCGGCCGCGGTGTCGTTCGTCTAGTAAATACAGAGCAGCCTTAGCTTCGATTTCAAGTGGGGCGATCCAAGCAATTTTGTAGTCCCTGGGGTCGAGTGTGCCCGTTCGATCGGCGTGGCTTCTTTGTGTGGTCGACATCTTGTAGCAAATCTGTTGTCACATAACTCAGTGAATAGATATGGCCGGAACTACTATATGATCTAAGATTCTTTCACAATGAGTTGTTTGTTGATCGCGTCGTCGTGCTTGAGCGGCTGAAGATGCAGTCAGATACCCCGCACATAGGAAGGCACCGTGTCCAACCAGTGTCGAGCTGACAAAGAACCAACCCATTCCCATTGTGTAGGGTCATGATTTTCTTGCTACCCTACAGCTACTGACTGATGCCAATTATCACAAGACTCTGCACTCGTATAAGGCTTCTTGAGTTGCTCTGTAAGCCATATGAATGTCTCAAGAATTAGGGACTACCTTGATGAGCTCCTTAGAGGATCACGAGAGGGTGACTAGTTGAGTGAAGGATATAGGGTGTTGTATTTCAAGTTCAGCTCCAATGGCGCTGAGTCATGCGTGGCCTCTAATCAAATAGCGAAGGTATCTTATCACGTGATGAAATACCATCGATCAAAGGAAAAAGGCCACGTGGCCCTTTGCGCCCTCCTAAACAAACCATCCATTTGTCCGGCTTGACCCCTTCGTAGATAATGCGAATTCGCGTCTCCAGTGACCATGCAGAGCCCAAACCCCAATATTTACGAAGGCGATTATTTAGAGCTCGACTACCGAACCCCATCGCTCCCCGTGTTCGATAGCCCAAGCCGAAGCCTTACTGGGCCTAGTCAAGCGCTGGGAGGTACACGAAGACTGCCGCTGCTTCGGCCGAGTGATTGGGACTCTGACTTTGAAGATGACGAAACTGACCCGACTTGCTCCCAGAGATCACCGAAGAAGACTTAACTCTAGCTCCCAGCGCGTATTGGGATCGATTCCTTAGCGCAGAACTCGCGAAGATGGTTGCATCCAAAGTGCCTAGCCCAGAGTATAAGCCAGTTGAGACCACAATCGTCGTATCCGTCGACAAGCGTAGCGAACGAAACCTACGGAAGCAATTCCCGGGGTTAAGTATCTAGTGGAAGGCGATCGAAGATAAAATACAATCATGGAGTCTGTTGTTCTGTGAAGGCCATAAGTTGAGGTTGGATATATATTTCATCTACAAGGCCACAGATCAAGTAACACAGCTTGCAAATACCGGCGGGCGGCAGAGCCGTCGCGGGGCCACGGGCAGGCAATTTGCTGCCCGAGACCGGCTTCTCGCCGAGCAGGAAGATACTTCTGGTAGTCGTCCGGTGTGGAACGATGTTTACGAAGTCTTCCATTATACTGGTGTTCCGTGTGTCAATGCAGGCTTTTATTGTTGGCGCGATCTAGTTAGTAAGAAGCACTTTAAGCTCGACTCGGGTCTTCTAAACAAGCTTGTCGACTACGCCGAAGAAGGCGGGTTGCTAAGAAACCATGACCATGTGCCTGAAACAATCCGCGAGCGGATCTTCAGACAGGACCAGGAAAACCTGGAATACAAGCAGCTGAAACGTAAGAGAGGCGATGACTTACCTCCAATCAATATTAGTGTTTCTTGTCCAGGATCTCATGGTGAGGCTCAGCAGAACCATCCGATTGGGGCCCATGTCACCGCCGGAGGTAGTAGGGTAGGATTCAGCAGGCGGGCCGCTGATATCGTCATTCCCATGCCGATCGACAGAGCAGGAATTGCCTACTGTGAGTGGCTGTGTGGACGGGTGGAGAGCGACTATTGGGAAGCAGGCTTCCGGCAAGCGCATCGAATCACGATGGAGGCGTGTTTCGATTTGAAGTATGTCTATCAGGTTCAGGACGTCGCATTTTTCACGGACAAAGGCGTAGCCTTGGGCATCGCTCTCTTACATTGGCGACATCCCTGTGTGGGCGGACGCACTAAAGTCTTAGTTAGATCTTGATACTCTTTATTCTCTTTCCCTAGCTCAATTAATCATCGTCACTTGCCCTGTCTGAACTTGGAGGTTGCTCAACCGTCAGGCCAGCATTCCTGAAGTGCCCTTCAGCACTGTCTTGTCGTCCACCGATAGCAGTGACACAGGACTTGATATACGCGCCAAAGTCTCTCTGAATGAGATCAATGTGCTCATCCCATCGCACCTTTGCGTACGCCTTCAGTTCGGCGAAATGCTCCTCTATCGGGTTCGTGACGGGCGTGTATGGCGCTGTGAAAACCTGCTTCACGCCTGCCCTCTCGCACATCTCCTCGATCTCTTTAGAACAGTGAATTGTAGCATTATCCATGACAAGGACAGATTCCGGCTCTGGACATTTGTTACAGTGACAGAGTAGTTGCTTGATGAAGTCCACGAAGGTCTTGGTGTCAGTAGAACCCCGATATACACGCGACAGCTTGATGCCTCTCTGTGTATACGCGGACAGGACTTGATACCTCTCCTCCCGTTGAAACATAGCTGTTTGCCTAGGAGTGATGCCTTTCGGGGCCCGTCCCTTTCGTCGGAGTCCGACAGTCTTGTCCATGCCGGATTCATCAATAAATATAAGGTGATAAGACCTATAACCACCAAGCTTCAATCTGTAATTGTAGTAATGTTGTAGTTGGGGATCTCGCTGCTTAGTAACACGGCGTGTGTCTTTGCGAGTCCACTGGATCTTTTGCAGGGTCCGGGTGATAGTCGAAGGCGACACTTCTACGCCAAACTCTTTGTACAGAAACGAAATCATCTTACGGCTTACCATCTCGGGTTCTTCCACGAGTGCTTCACAGAGCCTTTCTTGCATAAACGGCGTTATCTTCGGGTCGGGGCCGGTTCGATTCGGGGGGCTGTCGTGGTTCCATAGCGCACGATGTTTGCTTGCACGTTCCGGACGGTACGAGGGGTGCAATGTACGATTTCGGCGATTTTGTTAATGGATTCACCATCTGCTGACATGACCCAAATCTGATCACGCTGTCCGTCGGTAAGACGAGGGGGCATAATGGACGATGTCGAAGGAAAGACCTATTCTGGCTGCGCTGACCACAGGAGAAGGGGGGGCGAATTTGGACGGGCTTATCCGTAATTGCCACGTCAGCATTCCTGGCTTACCCTTTTCAATAATCATTTAAATGCCTCAGGCATCATTTTGGGCCAAGAAGCTTTGGAAAGTTACCTCAGCCAGTACTCCCGCATACTGTACAGCCCCATACTGACTCTACTAGCTTAAATTTGTGTTAGTGAGGTATAGTAACTGAACCTGAAAAGTACTGTAGTAAGATTGCTATAATAGTTATTTATTATGCTATAGTATTAAACACTAATAGCTTCCTCTCCTATAATAATTGTTTTTAATAAAGGATGTTTCTATATCTTAAATATATATATCCTAGATATGGTATACGCGCTGGGACTTAGTTTATCTTTTGCTTCTTAAAGTACCTACTAGGTCTGAGCCTAAAGAGAGTACTTCTATCTCGCACTATTAACTTATCTCCACTCCCCTAGATTTTTTAGGCAGTAGTGCTACTTCTAGGTATTTCTTTTATATATTTAAAAATTACTTATATATATATAATATAGCTAAATTTAAATAAAATAATTACTTACTAAGTAAACTTATATACTAAAGTATTTTTACTTTGGATTTTATAAAGAGAATATTCTTTTAAAGCAGAAGGTAATAGTATTTAGCACTATATACCGGCAAATATTATAGTAATAGACTATTAACTGCAAAAAAAGAAAAGGAAGGAGGGGCATATAAAGGGCATTAATAACGTTATCGAGCTTATCTATTAGGGCTAGGTTAGAGCCTCTAGTTATTATTAAATAAATTAAAGCTATTAATAAGGTATTACTTATTAATTACTTAAAAAAAGGTCTCTTATTAATCTGCTAGCATTATAGCTAGATTAATAATATAATTATATAGGCAAAAGCATTAGCTATAAGATAGCTTCTATTAATAAGTATTCTTATTAGAGCTATTATTATATATAGAAATAGTAATAGACTTTTAAGGATTTTTTACTACTAGATTAGATTTATAATAGAGGGAATAGAGCTTTTTATCCTTTTAGGAAATATATTTAAAGTTTTATTATCTATAAGGGACCTTATTAAATAATAAGCTAAAAAGTCTATTTTAAGTAATTATAGATATAGTTAGTATATTATTAGAAGTCTTTTTTTTTTAAATATATTATTTATAATTAATTCTAACTAAGAGCTAATGCTTATTATGCGTTTTACCTTAATAAGCTTAATATATTTAAGAGACCTGCTTTATAAAGGTATTTACTAATAAATTTAATTATAAATTAAACTAATACTTAAAATGCAAACTAAGAGTTTTTATTATTATAATAAAGTAGTATATAATAATAAATAGCTTAAAGAGTATAAAAAAATATAGTTATTAAGTAAATAAAAAAGATTATATACTTAGAAATAAACCTTATACCTTCTTATCCTTCCTTATATAATTTATTAAATTTATTAACTAATTTACTACTTACCTTAGAATTATAAAGCTATATATTTTCTTTGCTTAGCCTGCCTTAGAACTATATTAAGTACTTGGCTTTATTACTACTATTATAATTTTGCTTTAATAATCTAATCCTATTAAAAAGGCTGCTATATATTATATAATTCCTTTTATATTTAATTACTAGCTTAATACTAATATTATCTTATACTACTTAAAAATTCTCTTTATTAAGATAGCCCTTTTATTAAATAAGGTATTTAATCCTTAATCCTTTTTACTAAGCTAGTAATGCTTTAACCTTAAATTTATCTTAATCTTTAATAGTTAGTCTTATAACTTTTGCTAATTTACTAAAATACTAAGCTTAAATAACTACTTTAGTATAATTTAATAAGGCTATAATAATCTTAGACTATCCCTTACTAGCTTACTTTAAGATTATTATTATATTATCTTTAGCTAAAGTCTAGCTTTTTCTTAACCTTTTTATAGATAGCCTGCCTAGTTATTATTAGCATAAAGATAATTTCTATTACTTACTAATGCCTCTAAATCTAATCTTAAAGATAGCTAAACTTAGCTTAATTTATATAAAGTTAGTTATATTTAAGGCAAAGTAAGGATATAAAATCTCTTTATAGAATCTAGTTATATAAAATATAGTTTCTTCTCTAATTTAAATATATTTAAATATAGCTTAATTAATAGGGAATTTCTTAAAGTAAGTATATAATTACTAAGTCTTATTAGGCTAATATAGAGCATTATAAATAATGCCGCTATTTTCTTTAAGATACTACAGCAGGCAACTTAACTATATTATATACTTTAGCTCCCCTTATATAATTCCCCTATTACTAGTATATAAGTTAATAGCAATAATAGACTAGTAATACTATTAATATTAGGTATACTTATTATAATTACTATCTTAATATATAAGTAAATAATTAAAAATAGGACTTTTATTTACTATTATAATAGTAATCCCCTTAAGGGATAATAATACCTATTTAGAAATATTCTTATAAGCTTTAAAAGGGGCATTATAAATATTTTAGCTATAATCTAATATATTAAATTATTTATCTTAATTTACTATAACTTTAATATTAAGATAGCTAATACTAACTATCTTATTAATCCTTAAAGGTAAAGTATTAGGCTAACTTTATATAATTAAATAATACTATATAGCTTAAATATACTTTTCTAGTAATTTATAAGAATTTAAAATATTAAAATCCCTTACTATCCTTTTTAGAGATTAATCTAGGTTTATATTAAGATTTTCTAAAATTAATATATTTAGCCTTATAATCTTTAGATTTTAACTTATATAAATAGGTAAGGTAATAATAAATCTCTAGATAATAAGCTATTACTAAAACTAGTTAATATTAGGTTTTATAATATATAATATAGTAATAGGAAAATTAATAATTTAGAAATATTTATAATATTAATATTAATATTTAGGTTATTTTAATTATTCTTAGGAATATAAAGGGGTTAGCTAACTACTTCTTTTATTAACTATATTATTTCCTTAAATTAAAAAGCTAAACTTTATTAAACTTACTAATCTATTTCTACTTTACTTCTAAATTATAATATATAAAATTAGGTAAATTATAAGTATAAAGATATATATATTAAGGGGAAAACCTAATATTTAGATATCTTGCATTATAGTTATTAATTAATAACCTAGCTATAAGTAATATCTTAGGGACTTAATCTGCTAAAATATCTGCCTTAGTAATATAGGGAAGTAAAATATAGCCTAGGGTTAGCAGCGGCTTATATATTATTTTCTTAAATCTGCCTTAGAGAAAGGGCAGTATTAGTAATATAGCTTTTAGACTATAAGGGGGGGAAATAGGCAGAAAAGAAGTAGTGTTTATAAGAGATTAATAATAAGAGGAGTGATTTGGCTTTTGTAGTAGTATAGGGGGTTTTAGGGGAAGATATTATATAGCAGAGTATAGTAGAGATTATAAAAATTATAAAGAAGGAACTAGGGGTAATGGAGGGAGTTATAAAGGGGGTAAGTGACTTAGAGTGCTGTATTGGGAATATTTAAGGGTCTTAGGTAAGAAGAAAGTATAATTAAGATTAATATTAATGTATTTCTCCTATCTTAAAGGGGCAAGTATAATATAAAAAGTAAGAGATATATT